CACAGATAAGTGCGTGGCGGTGGCGTCGGCAGCGATAAGTAGCGTTTATGCATTAATTTTTGCCTCAAAGTGGCATTATTTATTACGCATTAATGCGCTGAATTAACGTTTATTTAATTAATATTAATGCTGGCGCAGCAGTTGTTGCCTGCTTGCTGTGGCAGCAGTTGCTGCAACACAGTTGTCAGTTAACAGCAATTGTTGCTGCTGTTGCTGCTGTTGCTGCTACTACTTAGGCTGACATTTTGTCTATGCATTTTGGGCAGCCAGGCAATTAAAGGTACCGCTAACAGACATTGCCTGTCCAGGCAGTCATTCAGTCAGCCAGTCAGTCAGTCAGTCAGTCAGTCAGCAATTGTCAGTTGTTGCTAGACAACATGTTGCTGACATACCTCACAGCCATGTTGCTGGGCTGGGACTGCAAATTTGGTGCAGCGTCGTCCACATCCTCTGTATGTCGGCTCCTACAACTGGCCTCAAGTTCCCTGCTAAACTTTTGACATTCGGCGGCATTCTGAGGCCCCAGCAACAGCAACGTACGATAGTTGCTGTCATTGTCGCTGTCGCTGCGCAGAGGTCAAGGCCTTGGGGGCAGCCAAATTAAGAGTCGACTTCTGTTTATCCTATAGTCAACAAGCGAATGCCGCTGACCGTCAAATTGTGCAAATATTTGTACAGAAATCGAAAGTGAAGTCGTCTGGCAAATAAATATGTAACCAATAACTCACCGATTTTTGAAGGAATTTTCGATAAAGCAATATTTGTATTAAGTCGGGCGATAGATAACGGGCTGCTTCGATGTTTGTAATCCATCAGTGTCGGGGGCGGTCGGTGGTCGACGGTCGACGGTCGGCGATCGTGGTCAATACTCGGGCGCAATAAACTTTATAATTTATAGACCAATCAGACGCAGATCGCACGCACTAAAACAAGTGAAAAACCATAGTCCAAACACATAATGCATCAGTGGAGATCAGAGAGCCAGGCAATTTATAGGATGGCCATGCCAATAGACACCGCACAGCGGGTTGTCAAATCGAAGAGCGACTGTGACGGTAACCGAGACTCCAACATGGTACAGGAACTGGCTGGATAACTGCTTAGAATGGTATGGGATGGTATGGGATGGGATACCCGCGCGCCGGCTATCCCAGCCAATTGATTTATACAAACGGCAAAGCAACGGAACACAAATTGGATTGCTGGAGCCGAGGCAGGGGCTGCGTTGGGTTCGGGTTGGGTTGGGTTGGGGGTCCTCGAAATGATTTGTTGCACTTTGTTGCAATCGTCGCATACGCAGAACTTTTGCACACAACAGTTGCGCTGTTTAACCTTTTGAACTGGCCACATGGGTGGAGTTGCACGTGTGGCAGCCAGATTTCAATGGAAATCATTAGCTGAAGATCAGCAACAGCTGCCGCTTGTCCGCCTGGCCGACTGGCTGAATCGCCTTTACTTTGCATGCGTCCAGCGTAGCTAATTAGAGCCATAAATGCTGCACACACACACACACACACACTTGCATAGCTCAATCCCCCAATGTGAGCCATGTTGAAGTTGTTTAAAGCCCCGCGGATTGAACGGAAAGTGATATGCAGGCGTTGGCAAAAAATTGTTTGGCTGGCTAACAAAAACAATAACAACGACAACGACAACAGCAACAACAACAACAACAGCAACAATAATAAGCAAGAGCTAGAGCTAGAGCAACAACTACAAACAGATGTCGCCTGTCGCCCGTTTGACCATTTAGGTTATGTTGGAATCCAACACCAGTTTATCAAGCGACGACCCAAACAATAAATTACGCAATTCAAACGCTCAACTGCAGTCCATCAATGGCATAATGAGGCAAGCGGCGGGCCGCCCCAGCAGCAGCAGCAGCATCCACAGACGCAGCGGTCCCAGCGCAGATGCATTACCATATCGGCATAAATTCCGGAGCATCGTTAAGTGGGCCTGAAGACGACTGCCAGATAAACAGGCTGAGCTGCTGCCACTGCTGCTGAGTAGCTGTAGTTGCAAGCAGGTTGCCTGCCGCAAGCCGCATGCCGCATGCCTCATGCCACATGCCACAAGCCACCGTCCATCTGGCTACCCAGTGCCACCTAATGACGGAATGAGCGCCGATGCCAATGCCAATGCCGACATCGCCATCGATAATGGCAGCCCGTATAACCATTGGGCCCATTCGATTGTATGAGCTGACTCGCACTTGACCTATCAACTCCCAATTCTCTTTCAATATCAAACGAGCTGCACAGATATTTGGGTTTCCATACACCGAACCCATTGAAAAGGCGAAATCATGGTATAATGGTTATGCTAATAGTATGTAGCACCTAGAAGGGATCCCCATATATATATTCCAGATCAGGGTGACAAGCTGAGTCGACTAATACTACTAATACTAAACAGGAGCCGCTGTTCGGTTCGTATCTCGGTCTTTGTTTGTATACCCTAAGCCCATTAAAAATGGGAAATCAGGGTATATTGGCTTTGTGAAAAGTATGTAACAGGCAGAAGGAATCATCGCAGTCCTCAGGGCAATATTAAAATGTCACAATGCTACTATGAAATAGCTTTCCGAAGTTTCTTAACTGCTTGCTGTACGATCATAACTCTGCCACTAATCATACGATTGTGCGGACGATTATACGGCAAGGCAACGAACGAACGAGAACACAAATACAATTTTTATTTGTAATTAAGTTACATTAATTACTTAATATTTACCTTTTAATTACGAATATTACATAGTCGGGTAACCCTTATATCTATATTGCTTAAATTACAAATAATGAACAGACAGAAATGTAAGCTTGGTATTATTTCTTATTAAAATAAGATTAACAAATTGTCTAAAGTCACAGGTAAAAGTCTTTAACAGATTTGCCAGCGGCAGTTACATCATCCACAATTGGATAATCCAGAGTGGCTGCGTCTTGTGCTGCATTTATTTCCTCGGGAGTTTTGATCTCCGTGCTACTGCCAGCTTTAACCTCATGAGCACGATAACTATACTCGCGGATCATATCTATGACAGCCGAATAAGTTCCGTATCCGAGAATAACTAGACCAAGTAAAAGCATCAATAAGTCTCTAACCAGTTTCCATCTGCCAGGGCCGTATGAAGAGCGATACAAGAGGCACATATCGATGCAGCTAGGAAAAATGATATTCAGTAGCGATATGGAAAATGCTCCAACCAAGGCTAAGAGTGGACCCAAATTGGGGAAAGCGATTGCATTGGCTGTGCACACAACCACAAAGCAAATGCGAAATATGTATTCAATCCTATGCGGGTTCTTGGGATTGTGGTTTTTTGCAATATATTGATTGCACACGATATCGACAACAACGTATCCACTCAACGGAAACGAGAAGAACACGGATATCGCAATGAACATTTTGGCAACCTGCGCTAGCCTATTGGCATAAGTGTGTATAGATGCGTACATATATGAAAGCACAATTACAGTTTTCGAAGAATACTTACGCTTCATCAATGGGTATATTTAGGGTAACACTAGCCGCCACATAATCTCCATATCTCCAATAGCCCATGAATCCAATTAAGATATACGTGACGGCCACAAACAGAGCACAACGGTTCAGAACACCAAGCCAGCCCACATAAGACCCTGGCGTGGCCATTTTTGCTTCAATGGCAAGCATCTGCGAAAAAGGAAAGTGTTTTAAGGCAAAGTCCAAATATATGATATATGATATATATTCATCTAACAGTGACTTACCACACCCACGGACGAAGTGCCAAACATTATTATGCCAACAAACAAAGACAGTTGGGAATTGAATCGCCTAATCTCATCAATAGGGGGTAAATTTGTAAACAAATAGTAAAAGATACATGCGAGACCAGTGTACATCAAAAGATTAGCTAATATATTCGTGGGCACCAAATACTTCAGATGCCGCAATGAAAATAGTGGTAATGATAGTGTCCCTACTATGAAACAATAAAGCCTGGTATTTATACGTTCGTGGCAATTATAATCAACAACTTGCTTCACATTTATGCTGACAAACACGATATAAACCACGCACACACCATAGTGGAAAAATATCAGAATACCATTCACAAAATGTCCAGCACACTTTGAGAGACATTGGCAGCACTTCGGCCCTACACTAATTGCATATGTCATTGTCTCTGGAAAGTTCATATAACCGACCATATTCTGTCGACTAGACTCTACCATACAACGTACCTAAGGATGAGCGATATTTAACACGATCCGTCCACTAATATTCCTCTCACCAGTAGTTGCAGGCCAAAAATTAATACGGCTGTCATAAATATCGTCATAAGGATGCCTCCTATATAGCCAACACGGTAGAAGGCGAGCGGCAGGGCCAAGCAGCCGGATCCGACCACACACTTCACCAGCGATAATAGAGCATCGCAATTGCTGCGAAGAAGAGCTCAATAGCCTTCAGTGGATTCATCATTGCGGATCTGACTTACGATAATGGTTTTTCCACTTCACGGGCATCATATGGATGAAACTTCTTTTCAACGGGTTTGTTGACACTGCATAGAGACAGATTGTTATTAACCATAAGAAAGAATTTGACCAATTAATCTAATAGTCACATACTCTGCCATTTAAACCTTTCGCCAGATCTATGGCTTCGCTGATCCAAGGATTATACTATAAATTTAAAACTATTATTCATTAATATAAAAATGAAAAAAAAGAAAAAAATAAAAATAAATAAATAAACAAATTTTGTAAATTAGAAAAATAAAAACGAAAGATTTTGAAACTATAAATGGAAACAAAGAAAAGTGAGTGATGTAAAACAAAAAAAAGGCATAAAAACGAATGTCAAAAATGATAAGTATCTGCAGCCCTACTAAGATTATATTATTGAAAGATAAATAATCCTTGAAAATGCAGGTGAACCCAAGAAAAAAGTCCTTTCAGGGCAATGCGCCCAACCCACCCTGGTCTATCCCATTAACGGTAAATAGATTAAATACTAACTCAATTTACTACAATATTAACGTATATTGGTATAAATTGAAACTTTAAGCCTTCATTCTTTTCCTTGTTGGATGCTACTAAGCCCATAGTGCCAGCAATGCCTCTGCAGACACCTAAAATGATGAAAAGCAAAGAGCGCCATAGCCGAATCTTTCGAGGGTCCATATCCTTTACTATGGTGAGGTATGTATTCTGGATAAACAAAGACACTCGATTGTCACAATCGAGAGGATGTTGCTCAATCTGGTTATGCAAACTCCATTCGAAATAACCAAATGCACGGCCTCGCTGAAGCTGAGCTCTTTAGCCAATTTATAGCGCCTGCGCGGCTGTTCGAAGTAAGCTGGATGGTGCAAGATGGAGCAATATGGTGGAGCATGCTTTGATCAGAGTCAAAATAAGAAACGCACACAAATCATTATGGACAAATGACCTTTTCGATGATATACTGGATAAGTAGTACAAGTTGCTTACATCAGTTGTGGATTCTTGTAGGGCACGAAGCTGAAACATAAAAGCCAAAACTGAGCTGGTTATCTGTGAACTATATAAAAATACCATAATTCATAGAGTGACTCATCTATACTTACCCTAAGTTTGGGTGCAGGAAATAGAAGGAGGCCATATATCTAGTATTTTCTGTGCTCCCTCGTCGAATTTTGAAATCAAACGACGACGGTAACACCTCATAATATAGATAAAATATGCACTGATCTCTTTGAAGAGACTATTTATAGAGTTGTATGTGGGTTTCTGGATTTCTGTACGTTGTCAGGATCAACTTTGTTGCAATCTACAATCACAAGTAAAATTGCTTTTCGGGAGTTATATTATCAATAATTGGATCATTTATGGTAGCTGCATTTAGTTCATCTTCTAAATCTTCGGGTCCCTTGGTTTTTTTGCTATTATCAGCGACAGCATCACTACTACCGCCATACTCGCGTATCATATCCATGATAGCCGAATAAGTTCCGTATACAAGAATAGCCAACCCTATTATAATTATTATTATATCTTTAACCAGTTTCCATTTTCCAGGGCCATACGATGAGCCATACAAGAGGCAAATCTCAATCCAACACGGAAAAATGATATTCAGTAGCGATATGGAAAATGCTCCAACCAAAGCTAAGAGTGGACCCAAATTGGGGAAAGCGATTGCATTAGCTGTGCACACAATCACGAAGCAAGCGCGAAATATGTATTCTATCATATGCGGGTTCTTGGGATTGTGGTTTTTTGCAATATATTGATTGCACACGATATCGACAACAACGTATCCACTCAACGGAAACGTGAAGAACACGGATATCGCAATGAACAGTTTGATAACCTGCGCCAGCCTGTTGGCATAAGTGTGCATAAATACGAGCATATATTAGAGCCTTTGTGAAGAATACTTACGCTTCACTAGTGGGCATATTTAAAGTCACACTAGCCGCCACAATACTACCATAGCGCCAATACCCCATGAATCCAAATATTATATATGTCAGAGCCACAAACACTGCTCCGCGATTCAGAACCCCGAACCAGCCCAGATAATCCCGTGGTTTGGCCATTTTCGATTCGATGGCAAGCATCTGCGGGAAAGGCCGTTTAATTTCAAATATTTTAGGTATGGATCTGACGTTGACTTACCACGCCCACGGACGAAGTGGCAAACAGCAGGATGCCAAAAAACAATGGAAGCTGATAATTAAAAAGCTCGACATCTTTAATGGGAGGTAAATTTGTAAAAAAATAGTAAAAGATACATCCAAAACCAGTGTACATCAAAATATTGGCAATTATATTTGTGGGCACCAAGTACTTCAGATGCCGCAGTAGAAATAGTGGTAATGATAACATTCCTACTATGAAACAATAAAGCCGGACATCCAATTCCTTGCAGTTATGGTCAATAACTTGCTTCACATTTACGCTTACAAACACGATATAAACCACGCACACACCGTAGTGGGAGAATATCAGAATACCATTTACTAAATGCCCAGAGCACTTTGAGGCCCAATGACAGCACTTCGGCCCTACAGAAATTGCATATGACATTGTCTCTGGAAAGGTCATATAGCCGACCATGTTCCGACGACTAGACTCTACCATACAACGTATCTAAGGATGGGGGATGTTTAGCAAGATCCTTTCACAAATATGCCGCTTACCAGTAGTTGCAATCCATAAATTAAAAGGGCTGTGACAACGATCGTCAGAATGATGCCGCCCACATAGCCAACGTAGAAGAAGGCGAGGGGCAGGGCCAAGCAACCGGTTCCGACCACACACTTCAGCAGCGATAATAACGCATCGCAATTTCTGTGGAAGAGCTCAGTAACCTGCAGTAGGTTCATATATGTGGATCAGACTTACGATAAGGGTTTTTCCACTTCACGGGCCTCATATGGATCAAACACCTTTTCATTGGATCTGTTGATAGTTAATAGAAACTGATTATTATAGATGCTCCGAATAATTTTACAGGCAATCACATACTTTTCTGCCATCTCGAACTATCTCTATCTGTGGTTTACACTGCAGAATTTTTCACTATATCAATTTTAATTAGACTCAACAATGGTAAGTTATTAAAGAAAAGGTTCAAAAAATAAATTAGAAAAAACCCTAAAAAACGAATATCTAATTCTGAAATGTATCTGTCGGCATACTAAGGTTCTAATATGTTGAAAATAAATAATAGTCGAACTAAATTTATATTTATATATGTGCAGGTAAACCCATGATTTTATTACTGGTACTAGTACAAAAATAATTAAAACGATTAGAATATGTTAGCTTTTATCAATAGAAATTTGAATTTAATGCGGTTGAAAATAACTAAAAAAATATAAAATGCGATTGTCATATTTTTGCTTGATGGCTGCTACTGAGGCCATAGTGCCAGCAATGCCTCCGAAAAAGCCTAAAGCGATGAAAAGCAAAGAGCGCCAGAACAGAATTTTCAAGGGTCCATATCCGTCACTATAGCAGACGCATATATTGATAATGCCTGGATAAATCAGGCCCAGCTGGGACAGGCAGAAGGAGCCGACAAGCGAGAGGAGCAGACCGAAGTCTGGATAGGCAATGGCGCACAGAACTGACGCCACCACCATGGCCATGCGCATCAGATACTCTACCCACAGTGTGGCGCTATCCATTGGCCTGGGTGCCATGTAGCTGTGCCAGATAATCTCAATGATCACGTAGCCCTGCAGGGCATAGCTACAAAATATGGCCATAACAAATAGGGCAGTGGCGCACTTGGACAGGCTGTTGAAGACTTAATTAATGGAGGTATTGGGAAGTGAAAGATTTCGAGCATTAGCATACGTTTCGTCGGGTAGATTTTTAAGAATGTATGTCGCAGTATCGTCTCCGTATTTCCAATATCCCAAGAAACCGAAGGCTGTGTTGAACGCAATCGAGATAAACATGGCCCGATTCAGTACGCCACACGTGCCCATAAAATTTTCTGGCTGTCGCATATTTACTTGCAGCTGGAGCGTCTAATAAGAAGTAAGAAGAAGGGTCGGCAATAAGGCAGACACGTGCTAGAATACAACTCACCACGCCTATCGCATTAACCGAAAACATAATGGTGCCAAAGAATGACGGCAATTGGGATAAACTTTGCACGGGTCGTCGCTCCTCCAAATCGGGCAAATCGACTAATAAATAGGTAACAACAATTCCAAGACCTGCAAGGTAGTCCACATTTAAGTCATTCTACTAGATCTGATACCTAATACCTACCAACAATCAGAAAGAGGTTTGAGATGACGGCCAGTGGCACAAGATACTTGAGGTTGCGTATGAGAAAGGTTAGGATTAGAGGCAGCGTCATGAGGGCAATATAAATGCGCGTGTCGATGGGCGGCAGATAATCGTCGCCCAACTCCTTGAGATTCTTGCCAATAAACACGACGTACACCACATCCACGCCAAAGTGATAAATGCACAGAAATGCATCCACCTGTCGGCTATGAATCACATATATTGATCATCCATATTGATCTTGGGGGACAGAAACTCACGCAAAGTACTTGCTCAGAGGCCGGATCCAATAGGGTCCATTCAAGATAGCCAAATGCATGGTCTCGCTGTAGCTGAGCATTGTCATTTTATAGCGCTTGCGAGTCAGGTTGATGTCGTTGAGCTGTATGGGGCAGGATGGTGTAAGAGCTATAAGATCATGCATATATTCAAACACTACCAACACATGCATAGCATACAACAGAAGGGAGGAGATTAGAACTGAGCCTGCCAGGCCCAGCAGCCAGCCAGTGTTACAGTAGGCTCTGGGCAGAGCCAAAACACCCGTGCCAAGAATACATTTGAGCAAATTAACAAACGCCTCCGAGTCCCTATGGATAGATGGTCATTTAGATGATATGCTGGACAAGTAATACAAGTTTCTTACGTCAGTTGGTACTTCATTTCAGGAAGAAATTGAGGATTTCTGTAGGGGACGAAGCTGAAGCATAAGAGGCTGTTTAACTGTAAACTATATACAATACCACAATTCATGGAGTGACTCATCCTTACTTACCCTAAGTTCACGTTCAGGAAATGGAAGAGTCTCGGGGCAAATCCAGTATATCTTTCCACCTCTTCGTTGACTTGAGAAATCAAACGCCGACGGCCTGGTGAATTCTTTGGTAACATTTTAGCATTTCAATAAAATAGGTTTTTAAACACTGATCTCTTCGAAAGACTATATAGAGGGAGACTATATTCAGGGCCAACTGTGTTGCCAATTATGTAAATAGCTAAGCGAAGAGAAGGCAAAGACATGCGCCTATTGTGGAAGGCCGCACAGTTCGCATACCCTTTCTAAAATTTGTAAATGCATAATGCCATATACAGAGCAGATATACAAAGAGGACTAGATGAAAGTGGAAAACAAATATTTTGAAATAACTGTATATCTATTGAAATATATTCGAGCTCAGTTAGGCCATTGATCGGTTGGATAGTGTTTTCATATTTTTATAGGGTATTCTGTGTTCAATGCAGTCAAGGCAATTTCCCTTTCAGTTTAATGCTTAAATATTAGCATGGCCCAGAGCAGGGATTAATTCCAGGAAATTAAGCACACCAGCAAGAGGTAGCGAAACCGAGTTTGCTGTGTGGGCGTTTGTAGCCTGGCAAAGTGATCTGGCCATAAAAACAGGCCAAGAGCTCGGACTGGCAGGACTTTGGAATTTGTTCGCCGTATGGTGGCTGCTTTTGCTACCTAAATTATGCAGCAGCCGCTGGCTATCGAAGCGGCAAGCCGGCCAGGCGGCGATGATCCAACTGGAGCTGCAGCCACGCCTTGTTCCGTTCGCCAAGCTCTAGGCGGGCTGAAAGACAAACTAATTAGTGTGGCCAGCTCTGTCATTTTGCACGCATTTCTCAAATGCCTAGTGATGATGGCACTGTCCATAAATTGGCCAAGCCACTGCACCACTGCACCACTGCACCACCGCACAGCACCACATCGTTTAAGGCGACTCGATGAAAGTACAGTTTCTAGTTAAATCTGAGTCCCCATTGTGTGCGGCCCATGGAAGGCCGCCCGCTGGGAGTACGAGGCGAGATAGTAGTTGTGCGAAATAACAAGTGTTAGTGTGTGAGTGCGAGTGTGTGAGTGCGAGTACACATTTAATATATACAATTGCCCCCACGCCAGCCCCCTCAGTCCCACATCCCCTTTGACCAACTAAACCGCCCCGTGGCCGCTTTGTGTTGGCGGAAACGACGTTTTTTCTATGCAAATTCAGCCGGTGCCCCTTTTCGCATTTACCAAGTGTCTTTTGCTGTGTTGTTTATTTGTTTTCGCCGAGGCCAAGCCAGGGGTCAACTACGCATTTGATTGCAGTTGCTTTTGCTATTTGTTATTGAGTATTTCCCCCTTCGATGCGCCTGCTATCGTCACACACACAATGTATGTATATGTGTGTGTATGCGTGTGTGTGGGAGGTCAGGAATTTAAAATTTGTACACTTCTAATCAAGCATATATATACATATATGGTATATATGTGACCAAAAGCAGTTGGTTACAACTGTGAGCAATATCTGAATGGTATTAAAATAATATTTATGTAAATATTATTTTGTTTTTTTAAATTTGGCTTATTATATTTCGAATAGTATTATATCTGTATTAAACTTAAATATAACATACTTCAATATAATAATAAATAATATATATTATATATTATTTTGAATATATATATATATATATATATATTTCTTGAATATATAGTAATAAATTTGTATTAAACAAAAAATATTTATATATATAAATATATTTGTATAACATTTAATATATACTTTTATAATTTAAAGTATTTTTATTACAATTTCACATATTGTATTTTGATATTTTATTTGCATTTAGTTTAAAAAATATATAATGTATCAAATAATAATCCTGACACATATATTATATGAAAATTAATATCAATAAGGTATAAATATTATTACTATGTATTGCTTATGAAAATCATGTGAGCAAACTACAAATCAGAGCTGAAGGAAATGCAGCCAACTCAAGCAGCTTGAATTTGCAGGAGTCAAAAGTTATAATATAAAAGTCATATAAATTTTATATTTATTTTCTACTCAAAATCATAATTATTATATGTATGTGTATATTGAAAGGACTAATATAATTGAAATGAAATCAGTTATTATTGTATTAACTATATAGCTAAGCTACCCGGGACCGCCTTGAAGGCGTCTAGGGTATGTGCACGGTAGCCGCAACAAGAAACAGTCGCACTAAGCAGACATTTAAATATGCGCATTGGCAATTGCATTGCAGGCGTACCACGCTGCGTATGAATTTTCTGTGAAATTAACATACTAATGACACTTTGAGGCTGGCCAAGGGTGGTGCCCGCTGCCCATTGATGATGTTTGGGCTGCCCATGCGACCATGCGACCATGCGACTCGGCCCGCTGGAGTCCCGCTCCGTGACAGCCGTGAGCGGACATCAGCTGGTGCAGCAAGTGGGTCAGCCAGCGACTGCCAGTCGAACTTCGCATGTGGTTCAATAATTCCAACAGTAAATGCTAAACTATGCGCATAGATTGTCAACGCGCCAAGATGCTTAGCTGATTGCTGCCGTCGAGGCGAGGATTGGAGTCAGTGACTGTAGCTACAGCTGAAGCTGAATCTGTGGCTGTGGTTGGGGCTGGAGCAGGGGCTGGGGCTGAGGCTGGGGACGTGGTGTGTCATTAAAGTGCAGACAAATGGCAACGGCATGTGCGGCACATGTCAAACTGCAGGCAGCAGCAAACGGCAACAGGTGAAAATGTTGGAATTCTGATTATCTGCTGGCTGCTCGGCTGGCTGGCTGCTGCCAATCACAACAAGCAACTGTTGCCGCGAGTCTAGCTAAGCAGCAACTTAAACTGTAACTTTCGACGATTTGTCGCTCAGCGATCGTCGTTGGTTTCTTGACTTGTTTGCAATTCGCTTTTCGTTTGCTTCAAGCTTGATACTTTGATGTTTGGCTACCAAACGATCAAAAGACTCCAGCAACAACAACAGCAACAACAACAGCAACAACTACAGCAGCAGCAGCAGCAGCAGAATAATTATGTGTGTATTTCGCTGCTGCGATTGCCCGCCAGCAACATGGGTGCTACATTCCATTTGGCCATTCGTTGCCCGTTGCCGTTTGTGTGCAC